AAGAAGAAATTAAGTTTTCCTCAGCTGGGGGTGGTGAAAGACAGAAAACACACACTTTATCAAAGACTTAAGCTTTTTCCTAAAGACACGTCCCATCTCAGCTATTTCAGAGACTTTTTCAGGGGCATTTGAAAAGCTTTGGGGATGCTCTCCTGAGTCTTTTTAGGGCCACAAGAAATTTGATGGGGAGAGCTCCTTAATGATCAACCACTAGCCAGTAAGATTGTTACATTATTTATGTCAAGACAAGATGGCAAGGACCAAACACCCTCCATCTCTGAACCCGGAATCAGGATGCCCCCCTAGTTTCCTCTTAACTCCACTATAATCCCAGAGAGAATGAATCATGAGAACACTGAGCAGGAGCTGAATCTGACTCAATTCACTGGAAAGTAGAGACATACCTAATTTGGTTTCTAAAATCTGCTGTTTTATCTCACTCTCTGCCTTTGGAAGAGAAAACAGTTAAGTCCCTATTTCCACAAGTTATTTTGGTTAACATCATATCTAATTAGAACAGCAATATCAGTACTTATGAACAAGGAGTATCAAAAGGATTTATTATGACTATCTAGTTATTCTGTAAATGCAGGCCATCATTCTTACTGTAACTTGGAATAAAAATCTCCTGAAGAGTTTCCTTATTGAAATTCTATTCAGAGTCATTGTTGGCCTAAAAGATGCTTGCGTACAAACTAGTAAAGAAATCAGCCTTCAGAGTACATGGCTTGGCCAGCAGAGTGACTTTGGTACAAAAATTAAAACAATGAGGGAAGGGAAATAGGGAGGGAAGGAGAGAGGAAGAAGGGAGAGTGGATGGGAGGGAAAAAAGGAGAATGGAGGAGAGAGAAAGAATGAATAAAGGCATCCTTCCTTCCGGCAGGACACGTGATCTGAAGAACAGAGCCCTCCCTGCCCCTCTATTAGGCACTTCAGTGGAGTGTAGGCAATTTAACCCTAGGTCTTGGCCTTGATTCCACTGTCAGTTGAAGAAAAAGTGGATAATTACTGCTGGTTTTTAATGCCATAGACGTTATGTACAATACCAATTAAGAATTTAGAAATAAATAAATAATTTAGAAAATACTTTGGCAATTAATATAGATATTAAAGCTGAGTATATTAGCTCTATGGCTTTAGGAAGAACATTATATCTTTTGGGAGGTAACAAATGCTTTACATATTAAAAATAAGAGTATAGACAAATTAATAGAAATGAGATTTTATCACAATTCTAATCTTTATATAATCTTTTGGTGTATGAATGTTTGCAACATTAATCAAAACAACCTCCCATAGATGTATCTACATTTGTTTGTATTTAACTCAAATTGGGCCATGAGATATTTTCAAGATAAAAAATCCTATTTAAGAATTTTTCACCATTTGTCAGGATAAATAAAAGCAGAATGCCAGTTTTACTACCTCAACAATTTTGTGAGGAAGAAAAATTTCGATGTCATGCACAACATCCGTGATATATGATATTTCACCTAGAAAAATAAAAAATAAAAAATAGGAAAGAAAGAAGAAAATACATAAAAATAGCACCTCAAAATATATTTATGGGGGCTAAAACTTTAAATATTTGTTTAAAATGGTTGGTAACTCACTTATGTTGTTTGGTATTGATATTTTTTATGTTTTACACCAAGTAGATTAATGATATTTAAACTATGCTTCTCTTTTGCTAGCTCATGGAGAGATCTCTGAGTATCATCATTAATAATACAGTGAATTTAATTGAAGGTTGATTATGGAATGAAAATCTCAGTAAAGAAATGGTCATGTAATTGTCACTGACAATGAAATAAATATTATGAAGGTTATAACTGTTTAAAACTTAAAGCATATAATGTGTTGTTCATACACTTAAGTTGTTTCCAGAAAATATTTATAGCTCAGTGCTGTATACTGGAGTTATTGGGTATTAGTGGAAAGATAGTGGGTTACCCTCATCATTCTCCCACAGCCAAACTATATGAAATACAAGACATTTTTGAGTTCAAACAAAATGGAACAGCGGATATTACATGTTAAAATTTCCAAAGGCAATCCTAAATACATCAACAGAAAATGGACTACTAATAAGTTGTTTACTGAGAATATAACCTGGTTTTTGGAACCGGTAGTAAGAAGTGACCAAACATATGTCTTGAGATATTGTAAATATTTCTTACATGAACACTACTTTAGAGAGATTCTGATTATTCATTCTTCTCTAGGAAAATGTGAATATTGGGTTGAATGTAATAAAAGCTGATATGCAGATGGTAAATCAGAGACGGCTTAGTATCTTGAATGCCCCATCGCCACATCTGAAAATCTAAGGTTTAAGTGAAGTATTTCCCAAATGATTCGGCAAAGCAGTAAGTATAGTAAAAAATATTAAGAAATAATATATATGTGAGGACAACGATTTTAAGTGTACTTCTGAAAGTATTCAGAAAGCATCTTCTTCAAGAAATGAACAAAGGTTTCCTCTGATGGGATTATTTAAAAGAAACTATACCATCTTTATCAAATAAATCTTCATGTTTAAAGGTTAAAAAAGGGCAAATTTTTACCTCAGGCAATTACTATTAAAAAGACAGGAAAACTTAATAACTTGACAACAACATCACTATCACTGGTAGCCTATGTGGGTAGAATTAGTTGAAAAGACTCCCCTTTTCTCCACCAATCTCAGTTGAAAGTGAACATTTAATTAATATAACAAAACTACCTGTAGTAACAAGGGAATAATCTAGGAGCTGATAGTGATAAGAAGTTTTGCTCCTGCATTATAATGTATAACTACTTAATGGAATGCAGACTCAAGAATTATATTTTCATCTAAGTAGACCATGAAAGGATATTATTTAAGTGTCTTATGAAATAACTATGTTAACTATCCGTAATGAAAAATAAAAGCAATAATATAATTGATAGCAATCAGAAATATATAATATATGCACATAAGATGAGTTACAGGTATCCTACTGAGGTACCAAAACAAAGAGAAATTTAAATTAAAAACTGATAGAAAATCAGTATAAACTGAAGTAGGATTGCATTATAATAATGGCATTTACTGCATAAGGAGGGGAAAGTCCTTTATGGAAAATGGACAGGGCTATTATATGAAAATATATTAATTAAGAAAATAATATATTCCTGAAAGGGTATATGCAAATCTTAATTTCAAAAATGATAACATATTTGAAATGTCTCATTAAAACAGACAGGTGGGCTGGGCGCAGTGGCTCACGCCTGTAATCCTAGTACTCTGGGAGGGCAAGGCGGGTGGATCGCTCAAGGTCAGGAGTTCGAGACCAGCCTGAGCAAGAGCGAGACCCCGTCTCTACTAAAAAATAGAAAGAAATGATCTGGACAACTAAAAATACATATATATAGAAAAAAATTAGCCGGGCATGTTGGCGCATGCGTGTAATCCCAGCTACTCGGGAGGCTGAGGCAGAAGGATTGCTTGAGCCCAGGAGTTTGAGGTTGCTGTGAGCTAGGCTGACGCCAAGGCACTCACTCTAGCCCAGGCAACAAAGCGAGACTGTGTCTCAAAAAAACAAAACAAAACAGACAGGTGGTCACTTCTTTTTGCTTTTTGCTCAGTCTTCTCATATAATCACATAAAGTACTCTGATGGGAGGGTGTTTCTCAACCTTTGTGACAATCTTCACCATTCAAAGTTGAGAGTTAAAATAAATCTCAATTTTTATCAGTATTTTCTGGAAGGGCTAATAGCTCTTGCGGAAAAAAAGGCATGTCATGAACCGTTTAATGAGAAGATCGAACAGTTGTTTATCTATAAGTGATTTTAGAATTGCATCTATTTCTTCTAGTTTGTGTTGCGTATCTCAACTCATCTCTATTCTATTTTAAACATATAGTTAATAAGAAAGACAATGTCCCCATTTCTGAGGTGCTGCCTCATGCTCCCAATTTCTTCAAGACCCATTTCTAAATGTTTTTCTTCCTATGTCCTGATAAACATATAAATTTTAATTCAGTAATCACTTTCCATAACAAGAGGTTGTGTAATTAAAGTTATATCATTTAAAAATAATCTTTATGAAAGATTTTATGCTGCAATGATAACCAGGTCACAGACATGGGACATTTTTATTGAGTGAAATGATCCTACCATCATCATATTAAATAATTTTAGAAGATAATGCTTTTTCAATCTAGACTTCAGTTCATTTCAATATTTTAACCATCCATTTTCTATGCCTAAGTGGAGATTTACCCAGAAACCAGGTAGGTAATTAATCAACTTGTAGAATTATTTTAAATATTTTCTTACTTTCTATTTATTGCAGCCAAAGTTCAAAATTCTAAATAATCAATTTTATGAATAAATCTATCTGCATATTTAAAAATGAAAATAACATTTGATTATTATCAATTTAAATATTTGAGTAGTAACAATAAGGCAATTAAATCTAATTAAAACATTATTAATAGCAATTTATATAGTCCTCATGTTTCATTTAAACTAAGATTCTCAATATTTAACTTTATTAAATAATCTTGGATATGGATTTAGTAGCACTTTAATAATTCATGTAAGACAATCCTATTCTTAGTCACTGTTACTTAAAACCCCGAATGTATGCCAGTTGCTTCAGATGTGTTTCCAAGTGAAAGGCCTGTTGTAGAAACCAGGAAGAATCAATGCTGAAAGAGTGTAGAGATCTTGCACAATCCTATTTGGTTCATATATGTGAGAACAAGCATGAAGGCTAAGGTTAAGTTTGTTTTAGTAACTCTTGAAAACATGCTAATCAGTGCAGTCACTGTAAGATGCTACGTAACTACAGATGTTTTCCAAAAGCATTTAAGGTCCATAGCGTTAGATTTAAAAATAAAATTGCTATGATTGAATAATTTATCTCAATATGCTCATTTGATACGGATGTTTGTAAGGATAGTGATTTAGTATCCAACAAAAGCCCTGTTGGCAAAATGACATAGTCTATGACCATTTAATGGGTGCTTACCAGAGCAGTACAGTCCATTTCAATAATGTTTATGGGTAGCCCAGGAGTGCTATGGATCTCAAGAGAATACCAGATTATTATGAAATTGCTAACATTATCATCTGAAAAACAAAACAAAATGCATCACTTTTTTAATATATTAATAGACTTCAGAATACCATATTTAACATACAAATTTGAGAATCATGAATGAACATCATTTACAAACCTTTTTAATGGACTTGTTTGTCAAGAGAGCTGAGAGAAGGGTGAGAGAAGTTGCTTTCACCACAGTTAGTAAAAGCTCTTGTAAAAGCTCCTGGCCTTGTGCCTGCCCCAGAAACTCGTTAAGTTCCCCACTAAAATAAGCTTATGTATGTTTTACTTTTAAGTTAAGGATCAATATTTCAAAAAGAAATAGCCAATCATTTTTTTTCCCTAATTGCGAAACCATTCACGTATTTGTACATAAAAATATCTAAATAAGTCATCACAATTCACAGTGGTACATTTCCAGGACCATAAGAATCTAGTCTAAGGAGAAAATAAGGAATATGAGATTTCAGGTTTCTTGGGAGTGTGAAAAAGGATCCTAAAAATTTAGCCTAAGAAAAGCTGGAAAGTAGTGAGACAATTATATTTATACCTGGGTTCCTGATATATAAATACACACACACACACACACACACACACACACACACACACACACACACACACACACACACACACACACACATATATATATATATATAATTTTTTAAAAAAGGCAATTCTGCCCCTGGTGATGTCCAAAGTCACACCCCTTTACCCTGAAATGGGAACGCTGATCAACCTCAAAGGCCCTGCATAGAGGGATTTTGTACTTGCATCAAATCCACTTTCTTTCTCTGATTTTTCCTTATCTGTTTAGCTTCCAACTTATATTGTTTTGTTTTCCAGTGTGGAACTAGTTCATGGTTTAAGATGTCCTTCAGTTTCAGTAAATTGTATGCACATTCACGTCAGTATTGTCATGTTTAAAAGATTTCAATAACTGTTATGCTAGATTAACATATTTAGGGAAATCACTAACCTCTTTGGGCCTCAGTTTTTTCATCTATGAAAAAAGGAGCCCAAACTGGTAGAATTTTCAGTATCTCCCTCTTTCGAAAATCTTCTCCATGACTATATTTTTTGCCTTGCATTGTATTGTATGGCACTATATGACATTGAATGGCATTGAATAGTATTTTATTGGCTTGTACTGCATGGCATTGTATTTTACCACACTGCACTGTTCTGTACCATATTGCATTGTACTATATTCTATATTCCATCCTATTCTAATACTTTAGGTATAAACAAACACTTATAAAATTGGTGGATCTGAGAACAATGCAGAGACTCAGAGCAAACAACTAGTGAGAGGAAGAAAAAGAGGAGGTTCAGGTGAGTTCTTATAACAAATACCAGTGAGGAGTTCTTGAGGGCAAACTTACCTCCACATTTTGAATTGCCCTCCGGGCTTATTTATTTTGGAGATGTCACTTCATTCCCTTAAAACTATTAATGTGTAGAGAATAAGGTTACCAAATTTACACATACTGATCTGAGATTATTGAAGAAACTTCTGCTACATTTGCTCCTTCAATTTCGTAAAAGCAGTTAAAATTCTTTTATGACATTTAAATGTGATTTCTCCCAAAATAAAACAAAGTTCTTAAAATGAAAAGTGTTTCCCCTTCTAGGTAGCTCATGTATATTTTATCTGGGTCTTTCCAATGTTTTAACCCACAGTGAAGTCACAGAGAAAATAATTCTGGAGAGAAACAGTATCTGTGACTAAGGAGACTGCTTCATAACTCTGGGTTAATGCAAAGAGCAATAGAATGACTCAGGGTCAGAAAACCAAGATTCAGATCCCAACTTGACCACCATTACCTTGTGATCTTTGGCAAAGTAACTCAATAGTCAGCCCATCTATGGAATGGGGACTGTATTAGTCAGGGTTCTGCAGAGGAACAGAATCAACAGGTTGTGTACAAGAGAGATAGGGGAGAAAGAGAGAGATTTTAAGATTTTAAAGAATTGGCTCACACAATTGTTGAGGCTTATTAAGTTCAAAATCTGCAGGATATCAAAGTAGGTCAACTTTTGTTTTGCTAAGGCCTTCAACTGATTGGATGAGGCCCAAGCATATTATGGTAATCTACTTTACTCAAAGTTCACATATGTAAATGTTAATCTCATCCAAAAAACACCTTTGCAGAAATGTTCAGAATAAATTTGACCAAATATCTTGGCACTGTGGCTCAGCCAAGTTGACACATAAAATTAACTATCACAATAACACCTACTATTTATAATTGCTGTGACTATCACATGTGGCAGTGTTTTGATATAGCTGATTTAAGTTTCCTGGAGTGCTAAACATGTGCACAGAATATGAATTTATTGATTAGACTAGGATTAGTGAATCATTTATTAATGAGAACAAAAATAATGATTAGACATTATTCAACTCTAAACTTTAAACATATTAAGATTTTTTCTAATTGTGAAATCAATAACATTTACTACAGAAATTTTAG